CGATCCGCCCACTAGGGGCGTGGCAAATCGGATAATGCATTTTCCGATATACCAGAAATAATATTAGTTCATAAGCTAGATATGTAAAATTTGGAATGTGATCCGCGTCGACCATCCAAGATCACGAGTTATGGCGTATATATCAACGCCCATTGGGGGAATGGCAAATCGGATAAAACTGTATCTAGAGTTTTAAGCCTAAAACGATAAAACTTTGTACGTGAGTTAATGTTATGATTCTATAAAAATTCATGAAAATATTATATGTCTACGCCCACCAGGGGCGTGGAAAGTCGGAAGATATAGTGATTTTTCGGATTCTGCTATATTTTGGACAGTGTTGATAACAAGCTTACGGGATAAGTTATCGACTTTTGGAGATAAACTCGATATCCGCGCTATATATCAGGACATTTTTTTAAAAGAATTTCAAGTCAGTAGCTCTTCTATCTTTTGAGATCGACGCATTCATACATACGGATACGGCCTCATTCTGCCTGTTACATACATTTTACCAGAACCTTTATACCCTGATTTCTCGTTTTCAATAATATTGTACCTATTGGTATAAATATTGAACATAATATTCTATTGAAAAGTCTAGTCTGATCTTGGACAGAATAAATATAATATGGAATTTAAAACGGAAGTACAGTAATGGGTATACACTAGTCGGCTATTAGAGCACCCTCGGGCTTTTATTTATGTTGCTGGCGTACTGACAAATTTTCACGGAACAAAATTTGCGACCGCTGTGCAGTATTTAACAAGTGAATAAAAATAATTTTGGTTTCGCGCATTATAGATGAAGCTACATAGGTGAATCACGCAGCATGCAGAATATATTCACAGAAGTGCAATGTGCAGTAAAGTTGTCAAAGAGCGCTCCATGCATGCATGCATTTGCTCCATACTTTACCTGTATCTGTTGCTCTAGCTCGGCGACTATGTCTTGCCGTGCCAGCGCCAGCTGCTCCTGCAGGCGCCGCTCATACTCATCGATGATGCGCTGAATAACCTGCGACTCGTTGTTCAAGTTTAGTTCATCCTCATCAATGATAATTAGTGAAGCGCTGGGGTTCTGTCCAGCAGTTGGCTCGACCTCCACTGCATCTTGTCTATCGTTTTGGCAGGTAGTCGTTGATTTGAGTCGTGCGGGCTGTGCGGATTAGTTATTGTGGGGTGGCCAGGCAGTTAATTGTTTATTGGGTTATAAAAGCAAGCGAACAAGAAGAAACATGCAGTTAGCGATTGATCAACTGACGGACTCAGGTAATAGAAATATGAGTGGTTCGATCACAGGCATAATATGCTAAGCCAAGACAACATACCAAATAATCATCATCTGATTGGTGTCGCTCGTAGAATTTGAGACGTTCCTTTAGTTTGCGCACTTGTTCTTCATGGGAGCGCTTCAGTTCATCAATGTGTGCTTGATAGAATATTTTTAGGTCAGCAACTTGTTGTGATACCTAAAAAGCATTTACAATATAATAGATTTATCCTGTCTATTATCGACTGCTTACTTACATTGTCTTTGGGTTCCTGGGGATCAAGCCCACAGGGCGTTATTTGACGGTGGCTGGGGCTAAGCAGGAGCTCAGCGCGATTACGCTTGCTTGGAGAGGAATCTTTTAAGGCCGTCTCTTCTGGCAGTTGATCCACCTCCGAGCACTCGGAGGAGCTGTCCCCGCCCATATGTTGAGACTTATGCGAGAAAACTTCGTCGGAAAACTGTTTCTCTAAATCAGCACAGCGATGCTCAAAGTATTTACGCAGCTCCTCCATTTGTTTAGCATGCGCGTCACGCTGCGCCTTTTCGTTAGCCAACTTCTCACTCTCCCATTGATCTCGACTGATCTTCAGCTCTTGCGAGCACTGCTCCCGACATT